CATACACACACACACACACAAACACACACACACACACACACACACACAGACACACACACACAAACACACACACACACACACACACACACAGAAACACACACACAAACACACACACACACAAAAAAATTCTGACTGGAAGAGCTGGGGATCTGGCTGCCAGGTACAAAATGAATCAGAAAATATAAAATAATGAACAATGCTCACTGAATAGTCACAGCAGGCCTGCTGGCGCCTCCATTTCCAACTTACTTAATTTATTTCACAGTATATAAATATATTCGGAGGAGGCAAATCCCCAAACACTTTATTTTGTGCAGAATCATGAACGTCAGTCTTAACGAATCGTTGCTTCCTTATCTGCCGTAAGCCGATTACTTCACACTCATTTATGAATTCTTAAAGAGACAAATTTCTCAAATGGCGACGTTTACAAGGTCTATGCTGAGAAAATAGAAGCGATTTTTCATCCAAAGTCATGAGATTCAAAGAGAAAACACCCTAGAGTTCTGCTGCTTGTACTCTAAGGAGCATAAATATCCTTAAACAGGGCATGACATCATCATGAGAAGGAGGTGTGGCATGGTGTCTGTAAGGGAGTGTCAGGTGACTAGGGCTGGCCATGCTGATTGGCTGTACCTGTCCTCCATGCAGAAATGCAGTCCATGCAGGTGGGTCTGCAGGCCAGAGAGGCTTAGAGTGATCCTGCAGGACCCACCGTCCAACAGCAGGACCTTGTGCTCATTCAGCAGTCAGTTGGATTTCCATGGGAGGGTACAGTGAATGCTGGGAGGACCAGGGGGAGGGACTTTTTCTGCTCGAGATGTTTTCCTGACTCGTTAATGCTAGTAGCATTAGCCATTTCCAGTGAGTCAGGGCACAAACTCTCTACTCATCTATGACAGAACCAGCAGGTGTCACTTAGCTAACCTTCACCTCACAAGGACAGGTATTAAAATGAATTAGCATGAACACCCACATGCCCACCTCCCCGCACAGGGCACACTGCACCCTGATCGTGCCCCTGACACCTTAAACTCACTCTCACACATCACAAGAAAGACTCAGCGAGTCTCAGTGGGGAACAGAATCTGCTGAAAGAACGCCTACGCAACACAAAAAATGACAACAAAAAGCCCTGATCTGCTCCTGACCGGTAAGAGCTGACAGGAACTGGTTAGCCACAGTGCTAACAGTGACGCTCATGCACGGACTCTTATCAGCAACGGCAAGCATGACGGCTCCGAGTCCAGAAGACAAAAAACAAAAGATCACACAAAGAGACAGCCAGACACAGGAGAGACATGCAACATGGGGCTGAAAGGGGTCACGGCCTTCAAACTACAGCTGAGAGCACAGAGCCCAAGACAAGTCACCAAGCATGCACTGTGTGGTGACGGCAGGCAGTGGAAGCAGCGGCAGAGGCAGAGCTAGAGGCCACAGAGAGCCCCGCTTACCTTTTCTTAGGTAAACGTTATCTGAGAAAGAGAGAGAAATAGAGACAAAATGTAACACAACCAGCAGGGATGGTTACCGCCATGAGGATGGTGACCGCCGCAGTGAGATAGTGCTTCTGCCACACTATCAGGATGTGAGACAAACTCCCCCTGTCCCCTCTACCCTCGTAAAGGGGGGAGCAAAGAATTAGTAGGATTCTGTACTGAAAATGTCCCGATTTGCAAACCACGTCACACCACGTGACGCCGGAATGGTCGGGAGGTGAAATCGAAATTAGATCTTGAAAGTGAAAGTGAAATTCATCTTTTAACCTACTTATATAAATATAAAATCTCTGCTGGCATCCGTTCAGCCGGCCAGCTGCCGTAAGCCTGTAGCACATGGCATCAAAGTTTTTCCGAGTTAGCGACATCTGGCTAATGCTAAGTTTAATGCAGGCAGGGATGCAGGCAGAATGAGGACACTCGTGCCTCTATTGGGACGCGAGCACACAACTCCAATTATCACCCATCACCCGCAAGTGTAGCCTTATTAGTGATTTTTGTTTTGGTTTGAAAATAAGTGATGTGAGCAAAATCTGAAGAATCTGAATAGCGCTAACATGACTGTTAATGCGAATCGCTCACACGTGCTCCTTGCTGGCTCTCTGGCGGTCCTCACCTCCAGGTGCATATGCAGGGGTGGGGCCACAGGGGTGGGGACACAGGGGAGGGGACACAGGGGAGGGGCCACAGGGGTGGGGACACAGGGGTGGGGACACAGGGGAGGGGACACAGGGGAGGGGCCACAGGTGCACTGCCTAATCACTCACTGATTCAAAACGTATCATTGGCTAATGAGATGATTAGCCCCTCTGTATGAATTTTGGCCCCTCTTATGCCCCCCCCCCCTTGAAAAATCCTAGAATCACCCCTGTTGTAACAAGCAAGTACTAGTGGACAAGGAATGTGATGCCGACACCCCTCCGTCCCCCGGCAACCCGGCCTGTACATCTATACATCTCCCGAATCAATGTGGAGAATCATTCTTCAAGCAGGATCAGGTTACTTAAGAACCTCAGACTGGCGTCAGTCGCGACTGCAGCCTTTGACGGTTATTTTTAATTCCCGCCAACGATCGACTGAACTTCCTTAAACTAAAATTAGAGGTAGGGCTTCCTTCCCCTTACCCTGGGGAGGGTGGCGCGGTGAGGAAGACCGTGGCGGGGGGGCATACGCTCACCTTCCGGGGGCATCAGCACCTTGTTGTTCTGGGTGCACCAGCCCACAGGGTGCAGGTCAGCCGTCATGACGTCGCACCAGAAATCGGCCTTGCGCTCGTCACCGTAGCCGCAGAAACGTAGCAGCAGCAGCTGTCCACACGTGGTGATGATGGTCGCCACCCAGTAAGTGTCCGGATTGCCCTTATTGGCCACCTCTAGCTTCATCCCGGGCTGGAAACTGCTCTGCAGGCTGATCTCCACCTGCGGGAACCAATCGGAGAGCAGCATGTCACAGAGAGGGAGACACCCGACTGGCTGTCACCAGGGCGACACCAACAAGGTTCAAATTAGAGCGAAGATGACACCTCGACAACAGCCAAAACACTGAAAAGTCCACTTCACAGCTTCATAAATAGGTATGCACCTGAACAGGTGGGTGTCGGGCACCCAGGCTAGCGAGGTCATCAAACGTCCAGGTGGGGGTTCTGCTTCATTTGCTTACTATTTAAAGACCTTCTGTTTAACCAAGACCAGCAGGAAAGGGCATGTGTGAGAGCACCTATCCGGGGGGGGGGAAGGTACAAAGGTCACCTTGGTTACAGGGATTTATAGTATGGATACCTAACAGTAGGTACTACTAGTCATTGGAACACCTGGATAGATTGCAGGTGACCAACACAGAGGCCAAGGAGAGTTTCTGACCCAACGCACATGCGTGTACTCTGAAGGTGCCGCTGAGAAGCCCTGTGTGGGCCCTACAGCATCAAACCAGTAGTCACAAATCCAAAACCTGGCCATGACTGTTGTTTTACAACAACTGGACCGCAACCAAAAAGTAACCAAATCCAAGGGCACTTTTCAGGTGCCGTACTATTGGTACTTCAAGGCGTCAGATTTCCACTGGCGTAAAAACTGGTACCGGCACTGAATGATATCAAATTAGGGCATTTTGTACTGAATTTGAAAAATAGCTGCAGTATATTATAGGGCTCGGTGCAATATTATGCATGTTACGCACGTGAAATTCTTACATCGTTAATAAGCTAATTTAAAATCAGGCTTCTTCTTACCTTCATATAGTACGGACATTGAAATGCAGGGAGTTTAAGATTCACTAAAACTATTTAAAAATTATCTAGTGAATGTTTAAAAAATCAGTTTGAAGTTTACCTCCGCTGCTTTTGCTTAAGTGCTGTATGCGTTCTCTGAGACAATCATAATCGTTTTCATCCTGTTTAAATCCCCCTAGATGGGTTTGTGAGAAACTTCTTTTTGCTTTAAAAATATCCCAATTTTTATCAAAGTGAAATTACATCACTATACTTGGAAATGTTCCAATACCATGCTGTCTTAGTATATTACATGAAAAACTTTTTAAATTTCCTGTCATGCCATACTGATCTTGTTCTATCTGTTCTTACCGACCAAATCATAATTAATCTTTTTTTAACTTTGCATATTGTTGTTTTCTGAGTTTGTAACATTTTTCAAGACTGCGATTGCATTGTGTTGAGGCATAACTAATCATTGTGTTGAGGCATAACTAATCAGCAAAAAAAGCACTGCCAATCTCACCCCAAAGTTACAAAAAAGTACCCCTGCTGGTTTGGTACTTTGAGTAATGGAACTTTTGGTACTGGTACTGGACCGGAAGTCAATGGAAAAGGGAAAGTACTGAAAGTAGTGGTCCAAAAGTATGGTACCTGGTGCGGTGGAAAGGCTCCCCAATTGGATTTAAGGTAGCAATTTTTTGTAGCGTTTTCAATGAAGACCTTTAGGATTTTTCCCTGAAGCCATGAAAAAGCCGACTGAAAATTCCCAGAATCCCTGACACATCACCGTAAGACAGAGTGTCATGAATCCCTTATGATCCCCAACATATTAAATCAATCACATAAAACAGGTATGAGGCCCATTGTACAAAAGCACCATGCGCTTTAAGGCATATCCGCTTGGACCCAAGGAATCTCTCCCTTATGGCCAGGATTATCAAACTCTGCTCATCGTTCGCTCTTAAAGGTGATTTTCCTGCTGTGATGGACCTCACCCTTAGAAAAGCGGGCTGATTAAACCCCGATCATGGTTCACTCTTAAAGGCGATTAACCTCGTCACTCACCAGCTTCCTCTCAAATGATGCCCGTTTTGCACAATCATGTTCTCTGTTTACCCTCAGTCAGTCCGTTTGTCAGCGTGTGGACAGCTGACATTAAGGGCTCGGCATACAGACTGGCCTTAACACTAGAGGTGTCCAGTGCAGCTGTGCCTTAACACTGCATCCCCCAATTACGGCAGCCTTGACGTTGCTCTCCGCGCAGGAGCTGAAGGAACTTCAAGGAGCTGTACTGCACTAATCTATGTATGAATGTTTTTAAGCTCAAAAGGATAATTGCAGTGCAGCCCTGCTGGCTCAACTGCAGTAAAACTTATGCTAATGCACGTCTCCTTACATAATGTTCCTAAAGGTGTAAGAAGTTTTGGCTACATTACAAATTATACACAGTTAAAATCTGAGCCGAAGATCCTGTCCGCCATTCTAGAGGAGCATCTGGCCTATACTAATATTCTCAGGATTCTTCCGGAGTCTTCCAGGATGGTGACTGTGAACCGCTGCTCTGCACAGATTCAGGGCCACAGCAGATGTAGGAAGGTCAAGGAGCTGAAGACCACTTTGGCCTCAGTGTCTACCTCTGTGGTCACATGTCCACAGGGCGGGACGTCACAAACACACTGGACGCTGGTCTGACGGCGCCTGCCTGTAGCTTCCCATTAAGATGCGCGACTAACACTTCCTTTCCTGATATGACTTACGCTGGATTTAGAGTCACTGGAGCAAAAGTACAAAATGAAGAAAACTGAACTGCAGCCCGTGAAAGTAATGTTACAGACTTACTATGTTTTTAGTACAAACTGGCAATACAGCACATTCTAAAACCATAAACCGACTTAACCAATCAAACCAAGAGCAGTGAACCCAATGCTAAACTCTTATAAAGTGTGAAGTGTAAATTCAAGTAAACCACCACGAACACTAAAGCCTAATGTAAACCCTACAGTAAAACTGACATTAAACAGCACAAAACCCTTAAGTAAACCCGACAGCAAACATTCTACTAAACCCTACAATAAAAGCAACATTAAACAAAGCACATAGTTCTTAAGTAACCCATACGGCAAACATTTAACTCTCGCGGTGCCTTTTATTCCCCACATTTGTCGCAACTCACAGGATAAAGACGGACTGAGGGATTAACTCACATGTTTGAAGGCAGTGTGGGGGGCGGCCACTGCCCCGTTCTCCTCCAGGAACTCCTCCCAGCTGAAGTCCACCTCCTCTGTGGAGTCTCCATCTAGCACAGATCACAACATTCACAAAGAAGGCGGCAATAACGCAATAAAACGGAGGCTGGTGTGAGAATCGATTCAGTGGCGTGTGACAGAGTCTCCGACATAGAACGCTGCATTAAGTCGGCGGACAAACACCAGGGCTGCCTTTGTCAGCGACACGGCCGTGAAGTTAGTAGTATTTCCCACTGACAGCTAGACAGGTGACCAGGCAAGAGGCAGAGAAGCCCCCCCCCCCCCCCCCGCAAGTTAACAAATACAGGAAACACAAATGCAAAAGCAGTGATAAAGGACACAATTTCACAGGAATGTAACACTTTACGTGTGACTGCCTCAGCCATCACACGCGGAGGCAGACGAGCTTGGAGACCCTCATCGCCGGCTCACGCCACATCGCTTCATTCTGTATATTTGGCTGCTTTCTAAAGCTTTTCAGGTGTGAAGGAACAGCCAGTTTTCTGAGTCAACCTGGGGGCCTCTTATTCCACAGAGCCATTAAAAGTGACTTTTAAAAGTGGCTTTTGTGTGACTCACACTTCTAGCTCTCAATAGATGCACATTTGCCAGCTCGAGTCCCCGCGGCACGGCCATCAAATGAAATGTTTTAATGCAGGGTGAATATGTTGATATAATCCCATTTCTGCCAAGGCTGTTGTGCCAGTGTACTGGAGGATTGGCTGCATTTTGCTGCAGAATTGGTTTTTTTGGGGGTTGCATGCTGTAGCTCCTGAAATTTACAAATATTTTCTATTTCTGAAGACTTTTCTTTCAAACTGGTTGAAACTTGGCCATTTTTCAACCGATTAAATGACTGAAGACAAAAAATACATCATTCTTAAGCATGAACCGATTTTTTTCTTTGAATTAGTCAGCAGAAAAAACTCGGCAAAATGTTTAACATTTGCATGTAGTAATTGCATGCTGTTGTATACAAACTTGCTTTTGATTAAAAGAGTGACTTTCAGAATTCTGTTCACACACAATTTGGCCCTTTAAACAAGAAAATAATAATTACAACGGCACTTCTACAAACACTACAAAAGAAAGTTATCGATTAATCAACCAAGCATGGTCTTATATTCAACAGCAAACAGCCATGACTGGCCAGAAGGAATTAGATGGGACAAATGTTTTAAAGTTTAACTGGTAGAAGACTCTATCTGTGCCATGTAGCTGTGATCGAGAAATGCGATAAAACGCAAAACTTAATGTTGTTAGGGCAAAACTTAATTATGTATGCATAAGAAAATTAAGGTCTTGCGCGAGTGCGGGGCAATCAATCCAAAATGTGTGAGCCTTGGCAGATTTGCAATCCCATTTAATTTTCTGTGGAAAATGTCCCTGTTCCTTTTACAGTGAGAGTCTGACATACAACGTTTCCCATTTTATGAGACCCAGTCAATGTTGCACCACTATTCCAGCCAGAGCTGTCACGATTATTCGATTAAACTACATTATTCAATTATTAAAAGGCATCGATTAAAATTTTCCTAATTAATTACTAGGCACTGTATTTCGGAACGAAGAGGCGCATCAGAATGGGGAGGTTCATGTACAGAAAGTACAAACCCAGACCAAGATTTTGTTTCCACCAATCAGTTCAGTACTCTGTGACTGTGACTGTGACTATTTATGCTCAACTGGTTGGTTGAAACAAAATCTTGGTCTGGATTTGTACTTTCTGAACCTGAACTTTCCACCTCTGTGGTGCATAGAGGATGAAGGTCCAAATAAAGAGCAAAAGCATCATTTGAGTGGAAGCATTTCACATTAAAACAATGAAAATGCAGCCGTCAGTATTGCAAAGCTGAACTTAAATATCACTCAGTACGACTGAAATGAAAGACATTCAGGTTTGACAGTCTCACCCAATAATCTGAGGTTAGCCATAGATAAGTCCAATTTAGCCTTTTGCAGTAACTTACCCTATCTGTCATCACTTTGACTTAAATTATTTTGCTTAATTTACTTTCTATGATTCCTGTAAGTCAAAATAATCACTGAAAAAGAAGGTTATCCCCATCGCTTAAACATAAGAACATAAGAACATAAGAAATTTACAAACGAGAGGAGGCCATTCGGCCCATCAAGCTCGTTTGGGGAGAACTTAACTAATAGCTCAGAGTTGTTAAAATCTTATCTAGCTCTGATTTAAAGGAACCCAGGGTTTTAGCTTCCACTACACTAGCAGAAAGACAATTCCATTCTATAACTACACGCTGTGTAAAGAAGTGCTTCCCCAAATTTGTTTTAAAATGTTCTCCCGCCACATCACTTTATACAATACGGTACATATAACCAATTAGCATGAATTATGTATTGTGAATATATTGAGTGTTAGGGCTGAACATTGTGATTTTGGAAGTTTATGTAATATTTAGCATTTGAAAATTAATTATACAGTACGCCCAATTAGAACATATTATCCACCATCAGTGTCTTGCTGGTGTTGTTAGTTCTGCCAGCGTAGACAAAGCAGAGCCGAGAAATCGCTTCTGCTCAATATCGTCTCTGACGAATGACCAGTTATTGTTCGCTCTTCTCCTCTTCATTTATTTTAGCTTTAATTTCTCACAAACGCCCCACCAGATCGACGAGTGAGTACAACAGCATGGATGAGAATGATTACGATTGTTTCGGAGAGACCATGCAGAGCTCATGCAAAAGCAGTACTGGTAAACTTCAGACTCAATTTTTTTAAAACATACACTAGGTAATGTTGAAAAGGAATGAACATTAAAACTGCAAAGATTGCCAAGTCTGGTTTCCTCTGACTGAGTCAAAATATTTTAGCGCAACTTATTGACAGTTCGAACCTAGCAGACTATTGCATCCTTGCAATGCAACAATTGCATGTGCATGAAATGACGTGTTGATTTTAACATTACACATCATGCAAGCCTGTCAGGGTGGCACAGTCTCACAATGTATACTATATTATATTAATTTTATCTTTTACCTTATACAATTTATTATAAACGATTACTTGATAAACTGTCAAATCAATCAGTAGATTACACAATTATTCATGTAATCGATAGTAATATCCTTAATTCTAACCTCCCGATGGTCCCAGCCAATGATGTTGAAGTACTGTTACTACTAACAGATCCCAGCCAATGGCAAATCACTGCTGTTTGTAAATCAGAAATTTATACCTCTCCTGTTTCTAAGACCAACTGTACATGGTAACTGAATAACTGCAACCCCAGCAGTTTTGCCAGCCTGAACTGGGCAACAGCGGGAAACTGGCTGCACGAAAATAAAAGACGCAAATGCTGTACAATGCATAGGAGGTGCCAGAGCGGCCCAGCAGAACATTAGCCGTTACTCATTATTGTTGATTGGTCAACAATGACTCACATGCCACTTCATCCTCAGCCCCCCGCCTAGAGTTCACTGCAGAGTTTGCAGAGTTTCAGGTCCTTGCTACAGGGCTCTACGCTCACATCCAAATCCCAATTGACGGGCAACACATTCCTCCATAGCTGGACAGCGACGTGATCAGGCACCTCGTCCCGCAGGGGGGTGCTGTTGCAAGTTGCCAAACCCACAGTCGGCCACAACAGTAGCCGCATCATGAACGGCAACCGGCAACACCGCCCCCTGGAGGACGAGGCGGGAGCACTGCACTAGCGAAGCACAAAGGCAGGCTCATGCAGGACAGCGCTCCAGGCGCTGCTTCACTGCGGGAATTTGGAGTCTCATCTTATGTCAATCAAGTTAATTAAATGACTAAAGAGAATTTATTCATGGACTTCTTGGTAAAAAGTGACATACAGTACGTGTTTCGTTCCCTGTTTCGCTATGAGTTTTACGCTAGTGTAATTTCCCCTGCATCTTTGCCAATATCTGACTTTTCGCTGTCTGTGCGCCTGTATGTATATGTGTGTGCATGTGCAGTTGAGTATGAAACAAAAAATCTTTTTCTATAAATGCATGCAAACTTCAGTCCCTTTCCACAAAGACATGCACACACCAACGCAGCGCTAACACAGTCCCGCCTCACCTGAGTGGAGCTGTTCTCCCTTCCCATTGGCCGGGCTCTGCGACTTCCCCGGCAATACCAGCGGCGCCGATTCCTGGACATCCGCCACAAAGGATGACATCCTGCCCACTCTCCGCCGTCTGTCCGTGCTTCAGAGCATGGCCTCCTATCCTCTCACCTAAAAACAGTTCATTTCCACTTTCATTTAATCCTTTGCATGTTGCTTTTGGCTTTTTCCACCCAAAAAAAAAAATCAAATAAATGTGTGATTTCATAACAAAAGGCAGGTCTGGACTATTTTTTTCAACGAGCAGAACTTCCTTTGTCATCATCGACCCAAGACCTTCCACACTTTCAGAGACGTTTACCCAAATGTCATGTCCAGGAAGCAGACTCAAATGGCTTCAGCTTCCACAAAAAGACATTTTTTCTTCTAAGAATTATGCCGTCCCTACAGGCTTATGTAAATTTGGCACTATATTAAATAAAACAGAACATTACAGAATGGACAAACAGAGGTTTTATTGATATATTCTGGGAGAGGTTCTTTTTAAGAGGCAAAACATTCACACTGTTGACCAAAAACCTCAAAAAATTTGTCAACAGCGTATCTGTGGTTTTTTTTTTTAGACCAATTCTGTTTTTGGACTGTTTCATCAGTCATTGATATGAAATTAATGTTTCAACTACCGAAAATTTGAAAGTGCCACAATAAGCCGAAATAAATTACTTTAATCAGGACATATTTAATACAAAATGTAATTGCTTTCATCAGCCATCACATGCTGCCGCCCAAAGACAGATGCTCGCCAATTATCAGAAACTGTAAGGATTCCCAGAAGGAACTACTGTCTAAAGTTACATGGAGGAAGAGTGTGTTGTTTAAATCAGTCCACAACAGGTAGATACGCTAAATGCCAGCAATAAATACCAAGCAGAATAAGCACAAAATAACGAATCATTCCAGACTGAATGATACAGCCGCATACAATAGTGCAACTTGTCATTCAAGTTGGAAACAGTATAAAAAGTAAGGCAGTTTAAATGCACAGATCTTCACTGGACACACCCAGTAAGTAAACAATGCTCCCAGAGAAGACTCCCTTTTCCCCAGAACTCAAACACACACACTTCATTCCACACAGCCTTTATGGCATCATTATAGTCTGATATGAGCACCACTGATTACATCCTCATTTTTTCATTATCTGATATCAGGGTCTCCGTCCTTCTTCCCCTCATAGATTCCGGCATGGGAATCTTCCTGGTGTTCCCTCTTCAGCCAGATGCTTCCTGATCTGTCCTCTCCTACACTTCAGCTCATCCGAGCTTTGCGGGGAATTAAGAGATTAATATCATTCTTATTTCAGTTCTTCCGTCAAACTTTCACCAGGCGTCAGTGCTTCCCACACCCTGCCCTGCGCTGCCGTGTTCTGGGTCCAGCGTCAGCTTTCTCTTCAAACCCTTTTGCTTGGATTAATTACTTCCTTCCCAAAATACCCTAAATCCCAATCCTTCCTACGAGACAGCTAGGTACAGTGAACCACAGTCCAGCACCAGTGACGCTGATGATTGCATCTGACACGTTACGTTTTCATAGTGCTGGGAAACTCGCGTGTAAACAGATGTCGACTGACCCATTGCAGTGATAGCCCTTTTTAATGAACAGCGAACGGTGCTGCTTGGTCTGATTCAACATCCCTGAAACAGCCCCGTCTGGGAGCAGCCGGGAGAGTTCTCGGCCTCCGGTTAGAATCATTCTGACCCTCCAGCTCCTCCGCCTTGGATCCGGAGCAGTTTAAAGGTCAGTGTCCCAGCACTGTTCTGGTATGGTGGGATCTGGGGGCGTGAGCTGCACAGGGGGTTGCCCATCCTCCATGCGGCACCTGCCAGGTCCCTGAGCCGGGACGAGAGGCTGACACCCCCCCACGCTCACCGGCTATGTTGAGCAGTTAGCTTATAAAGCGCAGCCCAGTGGCCCTGCATGCCCACATTCTCTGCAGGGGAGGGGGGTGTAGTCTTAGTCACTCCTACTACATGACAGACATACCAGATCACCATTTACATTTTCCACACTCTTCATTTGCATATATGCTGCTCTCGATGCATTTACTCACTATGTTTTTACCATGCTGAGTGCAAATACCTTCATGCCTTCTCCATATTTATTGTCATTACTTGCAGTTTGGCATGAACACAGTTCAGGAGAGCAAGTGGCAACTTCATTAGACAATTTCAAATCAAATGTCAAGAATTAAAACTAATTCGTAATTGTTATATCATGATTTCAGAGACGCCCCCCCAGGAGAGAATCGGTATTTACGTGGAATTTGCTAAAATGGCCCCAAAGATACAGTGCTGTCTTTGCGTTACATAAATGTTTATGTAATAACACTCATCTGCGGTTTAAATTACATAAATGTATTGCGTTACAGCAATTAATCATTCATTCCCGACGATGCTTTTTTCCAGCCGTGGGTCCGATTTTAAAACACCACCCGCATTTCGACTGGTCCGCATACAGTGTGTTTTTGTATCTACAGATGCAGAAATATCCCTCGGGATCATTTGCTTCGTTTCAAATTGTCTGAAAGGGTCATAATAATGAAAAAGGTTTAAAGTCGGTTCGAATCTTGGACGGTGAGTTGAGTGAAACGTGGACGTTTCTCTGACATAAAAGCACATTATAGCCTCTCCGTATGTAACAGACATTTAACTACAGGCCAGTTACAATGCGCGCTGTAGGGCGTCGCCCTGCCGCTTCTCACTTTATCACCTTATCTCTCGATCGCCAGTTGCCAATGTTGAGAAATCAAATGTCTGTTGCTTTCTTGCATGTCCAACTTCTAAGCTTACCCGGTAATGACTGTTAAAACATAAAAATATCCTTATTTTAATAGCACATAATCGCAACTTAAATTAGTGTAATAGCTGCGCATTTTATGCGGTATGAATTACCGGTATTGAGAGGCCTAACTTTCGGCATATGCTATATATAAGCTATTAATATCTGGGTCTCTGCCTCGGCGCAGTTTGAGCCACTCAAGAAAGTTTCAAGGAGATACTCCACGGATAATGTGAATAAATCGCACCCAAAACTTCCATATCGGATCCGCAGGTGGCATAAATGTCTGGTTGCCCATATAAAGTTATACTGTCATATACACCCTAAGATCAAAGGTCTTCCAAGAACACAAGCCGTAGCCAGGATTTTTAAAATACCGAGGTCAAACGTGTCAGCCCTTCCTAGGTGCCCCGTAATGGATCGCGTGTATTGGAGCTGCAGAGAAGATACTGAGGACTTGACCTTGGTGTCCTCAATGGTGGGTACGGGCATAAGTTACTGTACCGTCACTTCAAGTCTCCATAGATATTTAATTGTCGGAGTCTCCCCCCGCTCCCTTCGATGTTGCTCTTTTAATTAGGCAGTGCCAAGTCAATAATGAATCGACGCTCAAGTATTATTAATATGCAAGCTATGCACGTTTTGTTATTAATCTGTCTCATCATTTCTCTGGCATACACACAAAGGCAAACAACACCCATGCAAGTCGGGATGCTTTTCAGCTAAGATTAGAAAACAGCTAAGCTTAGTCACTTCGGCAGGCCACCATGGACAGATACAGACTCGTTTTAAGATTAAGACTTAAACCACACGCTTAAAACGGTTTACTAGGGTAGCGCGCAACTGACAACGGAATGACCAGAAGGTCTAGTACAACATAACTTACATTATTTGCCATCTCACAAGTTGTTTTGCCATCAGGGCGACAATATGAAGATTAAGACTTCCACAAATGTCTTAGTATAGCCTATATGGACTATGACCTAAATGGTTTCGTGTTTTACAGAAACGTGGTGTATTTCATCTGAACGACTATTTTAATTTCACCGATTACTATTCTGGAGTAATTCACAGATAAAATTTGCATGCAATTCAGAAACAGGATAATTCAATTAACTTAATTATCGAAATAAACCTGAAAGTCTTGCATAATAAATTAATCACCTCTTTAACAAAAAAAATAATAAGATCGCCGAATGAATAATATCGAAGGCATGAACAGTAAACTGGGCAATGTGCGTGCATGGTATCCGGACCGGATTGGGCTCCTCTTCGCAGGCACGGGCAGCCAAGCTTGAAGCATGCGGCACTCCGTTGATGTACTTTGCACAGTATGAAAGTATTGCAGCGGAAAAAATGGCCAAGACATCACATCGCGTTCACTTTCTATTTAATTCAATAGAGTACCACCAGGTACAGTAAAAGAAACTTGAACCGAACCGGTAACTCTCTTGAGTTAATTTTTTCCCTATTCAAAGAATTTATTTTCAGTTTTTGCACACCTAAGCCCGCCATGTTGAAAGAGGCTTGACATTATAGACTCCCCGGGTGTTCACTGGTGCTTTTGCGCACTTAACCACTAATGCGGGGAGAGGGAAAATGTCACACCCATGTCGTATTAATTGAAAATTTGCGGGCGCAATTAAAATCGAATTCACTGTAGTCAACTTGGGCTTGCTGGCTATAAGACGCAGAAGATGGTCATTCGCGCAGAAATCGAAAGAGGTTATGTAAGTTATAGACCAAACAAAAAAAAACAGGATATTCTTTCCAGGTCACAGACCTGACATTAAACACGTTATTATTTAATCAATTAATTTCCGCGTTATATATTTTTAGAGAACTGTGGAAATACATATAGTGGTGCAAAATGGCCAAATCGAAAGTTAAAAGCACCGTCACACGATTTGCGTCGCCATAAGCAAAAGCAGTAATTATACACTGGAAAACACTTTGTGCAACTTGCCTGCTGTTCGCTACAGTATATTGCTGCTTCTAGAAAAACACCCTCGGAGCCGCTTTATGTTTTAACCAGGAAAAACCTTCGTGGGTGGATGAAATGCTGAGAAAACGACGGACATAGTTAGACGGGACAGTCAGCTACCTAAAGAAATAATCACTAGACACCTGTCTTACCGTAATGAAGTTTTTCCGCCGTTTTAATCCACGACCCCGTTTAGAGCTCGGCTGAAGACGGGGAGCGGCGTCTTTTTCAGCTGCCCAGCCGAAACCTTCTTCCAATATGGCATCCCATAACTGCGCATGTCTAAAATCTGCAGATTATTTTCCAGCCAACTCCTTCATTGACCTTTACAGCAGTTGCTAATTTTTTTTCGTAGCCAGTTATAAATTGAACGCGAAAACCTCCCACCCCCTTTTTTCTTTTCTTCCCTCTACCAATATGATTTCAGAGAAAACGCTGTTTCGGCACCAAGTTAATCGATCCACCGAAGACAGGCCTCTTGGATAGTTTAACTATTAACAAGCACGTCAATTTTTGTTTACAGTCTAGTTTTAATGAACTTGTAGTGCATGTGGTAAAAGTGTTTTTGACATCGCGATGCGTATCCTCGGCATCGTGGATATGAAGAGTTAAATGAAAAAAACTGAATTTTAGAGGATTAAAAAAAATAATAAAAATTAACTGTCCTTATTTTAACATTACACAAATAGTTGCATCGTCTGTTTTTTTTTTAAGTCTGTGGATGAATTTCTTCAATCAATCCCCGCTTATTCATTATGGAATGCGAAAACATTTTAAAATGTTTTTGTTTTGCAGCAGAATTCAGAGTTTAATATGGAAAACAACTTTTTATTTGTATAAAATGAAACGTTTATTTATTTAATATACATTTATGTGAGCTATATAATTTCCAAACGTCAAAAAACGACTGTAGGATTATGTTAGTTTTGTTTATTTTGGCATGCGTTCAATTATAATGTTAGGCTATATGAACTGCCGGCAAAGAATCAGCACTAGAATAGACAAGAGCTGCTTTTTAATAGACGTTACATTACACAGTTAGTTGCACGGTATGTTCCAAAGTCCAAAATGGCAGATTGCTCATCTCCATATTTATGGAACAACTGGGTTCCGTTCAAGCTTTTTAATGTTTAAATACAATATTGAGAAAGTATTTGATCAATTAATTTCCGTACCGCTGTTTAGCAGAGGTCGAAAATGCAGTCTATGTATATGCGCATGTTCCTACACTTTGAAAGAATTGAGAATGAATGCTAAATTAAACACTTAGGTAACATGAATACCTGCATATAAAACAGCCATTTATGATTAGGACAGGAGACCCCTGGCGTAAGCTCGAGCACTAAAGTAAACCAACGAATTGCACGTGGGCGGTTATTAACCAAATACACACAATGCAAAAAAGGATTATTTCTGGTCATTTTTAAAGCATTTTTTCGGCGAATACAGGGTTTATATATAATATATGCATGTTTGGTCAGTTACTGTGAGCTTGTTATTTTTATGTCTTTTAAAAATAAAACGTTTGGAAACCTTATCCAGTCCGTAATTCAACACTGACCTCTAGCGGTCATGTGCCCGCGTCAACAAACCAGCGAAGCACATTTTCTGTGGGTTAAAAAAGATGACTGTTTCTGAGTTAGTTCCCCTTTATGGCGTGTTTTTTTAACCACGGCCTAAACAAAACAACGTTAAAATGGACAAATAGATGGAGGCGTTGGTCGTTTTTCCAGTTATTCGTCTCAAATGTCATTAAATGGTATATTGCCGCTTTATAGACTGCGTACCGGCGCGCGGAAGTGTTTGTGGTTATATCAATTAACGCTTTCGCTGCAGCATAATCCTCAGATATCATTATTAACATTTCATCTAACTGAGGAAAATAGCACTCCATGTATTTTAATATGTTCATTCAGATTTCTCACCTCAAATCTTCGAATCCGAGAAGAGTCGTTATAATGAGTAACTTTATTGACCCTATTTATTCTTCCTTTCTTTCCTTTGATACATATTTTTTACAATTTGAAACCGGGTGGAAAGTTTCAGAGGTGTGCAAAACACAACATAGGCCTATTTACCAAGAGCGAGATTCTGAAGACTATGCTACTCTTGGTAAATATTTACGCTGTGGTTTACATAACTTAAAAACACCCTATGGATCATTTAAGCAGGATGCTCGTGGTGTATTTACCTATTTCTTCAGAGTTTTGATGCCAGATAACGCGTTTCATGTGCGTGCATGTTGCATGAATTTCTCGTGGGAACATCCATTTACACAATCAAGCGTCACTGCTTGATTTAGGCTACTGAAATGAAGTAGGACGGTACAAAACATTTGTTTGACCCTTATGAGTTACTGCATTGTTTTAAGTGATTGCCTCCTTTAAATGACTTTGCAGCTTTTTAACGGGCGGATAACAGATGGTTTGAAGCTTGCTGGTTGTCTGCGAAGTGGGCCTCGACCAACAACAGGGAGGGATTACCTTCGTGTGATTAAGCGGCATCTGGTGCCCGCGGCCGCATGATTTTAAACTAAAGCTTCGCTAATCGGTGGCAGCCGCCCGCTGCACACGAGTCCTCGCGGAAACTGTCGCAGTTTGGCTCATGCCAAGTGGACGGAGAGTCACATCTAAACATACCTTATCGTGTTTTATGGGTCACATTATTATTATTAATTATTATTATTATTATTATTATTAGTCTAAATAGTTAAGACCGCCCTGTGCAGACGACCGGAATGTTCTGAATTACTCACCAATATAGCTACTGACTTCAGTATAGCCTACAATGGGCGTCGCTGTACCCGTTTTACTGGGGCACCCCAGGTAGCACACATATGTTGAAATGACGTCGATTCCATATAAGACAAAAAGGCTGAAACAACGGTGATCTTCAGTGTTTCACTTTATATCATCATTGAATCGAGGTTTTGCCACCATAAATTTTTCAATATTGAAAATCTGACGAAAAATCAATTCAGTTTCAACGTTAATAACTGAACACTGATCGTAGTTCAACGTATTTAACTATGATTCAACGTTGAAACAATGACGTGTCCAGTATTTATGCGCTGTGCCCCAAGAAAATCTCACGTAAGGGGGGGCTGTGCCCCAGTAGAGCTTTATATCTTACCAACCTGTACACTCTCCGAAAAAAGGGTAAAAAAAATGTACCTTGTAATTGCACATTTTAAGGTACAGAAATTGACTCTGAGGAGCACCCCAAAGGTAGAAACAGCATTAATGTTGCATCAATGATACAGAAATGTTCCTCAGAGTCCATTTCTGCACCGTAAAAGGTACAATTACCAACAGCTGAAGGTAGAATTGGCAGCCTCTTGAGGGTACAGCCCCAGTGACAAGCAAAGGTACACATTTTTATCCTTTTTCTGAGAGTGTAGTTTCAAATACACTCTTGATAAACGCGGGCCAAAACCTAAAAACTGAAATCACACTACAATCAGCGTCCCCCGCACGGATAAAACGTTATAGGCTGCCATGTGTAAATGGAAATATGTGAAATGTGAACAGTGCATGTCAAAAGCATCAAAGGACATCGAAGCATCAAAAACATTCATTCATTGTGCTTGCTGTCTTCTAACTGTGTATATAGTACAGGTTCGCCAAGAAATAATACGATTCTGAGCTAATGATTAGAAAATGTACGTTTAGCCTACAATATAATATACAGTGGTACCTCGGTTCTCGAACTCACTAGAACTTGAATTTCTTGAAAGTCGAACAAACCAGTTTGACCTAGAACTCGATCTGAATATCAGAAGTCGAACCATGAACGCTGACCTAATATAAATTGTACGCGCCAGGAAATGAGTCATAGTGCAATGCAATTCTTACTTGAATGGCTTCTTCACAGACTGGACGATTAACCAAATAAAGCAGCGCAACATTACAGTAACTAACAATAAATAAACCACTAACTGACGTGTACTATTACAGCATTTATGTAATTTATTTAACTTTATTTTACCAGATAAATTAACTGAAAACCAGTTCTCACTGCTTTACGTGATATTCGGGAGAAATAGCAGATTACGCATCGGAACTGCCTGGGATACAAACGTCATGCGTGTAACTAAACTCTTCAGCCAATAAGGGCACAGGCGTGTCGTCACGGAGTCGGTTCCCAGTTTGTGCAGCCGGGTGAGAGGTCGCAATGCATCTAACCGTAATGCATCTAACCGTAATGCATCTAACCGTAATGCATTTAACCGTAATGCATTGCGTCAGGATCAGAATGCGTTGCTTTAAGCCAGCGCTGTAAGCAAGTCGAACGCACCCAATGACTGGACTGGAGAAACAAACTGAAACGCGGACTAATGACAACAAGCAGAAACAGCTGATCACATGGGGATCCCACACGAGGTTAACGAGGGGGCGTGGCACACGGAAGGAGCGGACGATTGGGGCAGGACAGGGGTAATGTTGGGATAAGATCTTTATCATTTTGGAAGCCATTAAGAAAAAAATGCTCTTCTTGTTTCATCCTGTTCTTTTTCTGTTTATATATATTTAGGTGTAATTTTGGGAGGCCGGGAACCAATTAATTGGTTTTCCATTATTTCTTATGGGAAAAATTCGATCAGAACTCGAACTTTTTAGGATTCGATCCGGAGTCCGGAACGGATTAAGTTCGAGAACCGAGGTACCACTGTGTTATATATAGGCCTACTGTATTCACTTCATTAAAAATTAATTATGCTTTGTAAAATTATTGTAGAGTTAGATTGATTGCTAATACAAAAAGATGAAGAATGTTTTTCAAGAGGATTTATCGGAACAAAGAAACTTTGCAGAAAGCAGTCTTCTGTTTACTTTCCGGGCGCTTGCCAAGACGCCTGCCCGCTACGGTGGGTCCAGCACAGTGATTTAGGATTTGGATTTGGCACCATCAAATCAAAGTAAACACTTCCTGTCGCCGATCTGAACTCCTTCCAAAGAAATTCGATACTGTGGATTCAATACTATCCGAGCTGCCAAGTGACAGATTCAAGGCATGGCCGATTATGTTTTATACGATTTATAAAAGTAGTTTTATCGTTTTGAAATTCAATATTTATTTGTGCATAAATGTTGTCCAAATCTGTAGTCTTTCTATACATATCAGTGAATGGAATATTGATAACTGTATTATTATGTTAGTGTGTGATTATGCTATCAATGCTCGGCAGGATTCGCGATAGTGCAAATCAGGTAAAGGCACCCCAGGTGAAATTAAGCCTTCTATAATTAGATCTGACTTGCCCGCGCGTCGGCAACGCCGATGCTTGCACAATAATACAAAAAAAAAAGGTTTTGCGCATATATTACACACAGATTGCTGAGCCGTAGTACGGTTGTGCAAACAGGAAACTGCGCGAAGAGGCGCTTCGTTAAGTTTGCAGGGACGTGTATTCCAGCACCAACCGCATCAAGGCTCCGCTGATCAGAGCAGATCTTTTCCTGTTGTTACTGGGTCACAGGACATTTACAAAAGCCTGCAGTCGCTGTCATCATTTACCACGTGAGGAACTCAGTCTCGTTGCAGCTGGATTTCTAATGTAATCGTACCTTCATGTTTTTGTTGCTGGAGAAAAAAAAATATTAATGATTATAAAAAGATTAGCAACCCAGACACAAACTGTGTTTTGGGAAACGGTTCAAAAATACTGTATTTTCTAATATAGACCTTTATTTCCGACATTTCAGAATACTATAAAATTTTCAAAAAGTATATTGTTATTTAATAATAATGTGGTCTTTAAAATGAGTACATTGTGTCATTGATTCGCAGTCTGTTGTTTCATGCTGCTTTTAATGCAACTCAGATGACAAAGGCAGCGTTCTGATTTTTCTTTGTGCAGATATTTCACAGACTTGTTTATATCTTACAGGAAGATTAATAAATGGTAATGCAATGGTATGCCTTTCACGACAGTACAAGTATAATACACTGTGTGAAATACGATTAGGCAACACCTGAATGTATTCTGGATCTTATTAAGGTAGTGATTTAGATGGGGACCCACGTAAAGGCTCAGATCGATCATCTGAGCCCGTCCAGCTCCTCTCACGTGTGTTGAGAGAAGGATAACAAAGGAGGGGGGAGCCGCCCCTTGGATGCACGTGAGAAAACCAGCAGCAGCAGGAGGTGACGTCAGGCTCCAGTTTTCCAGCATGTTTGTTAAAAACACGGGGATTTGGGGCATCTAGAAGAGTTTTTTCCCCCATCTTCCAGTCGATTCCCCAGTGAATTGATTTATTTTGCTTACTTATTAATTTAACGGAACTTTAGCAAGAACGGGAGAAGAACTTCGGGTCTTTTGGGTTCTATTAGGGTTCTCTCACTGGGAATCCGGGCTGGATGCATCGCGGAACACTCGAGGAAGTCCACTTCTTTTGTTTGCTTGGACTGTCGTTTGCTGATGTATCAGTGTTTCCTGACAATCCACACACAACCGACGGCTACAAGAGCATATTCCCGGCCGAATGAGCGCGTTTGCTGGGAGGATGGTGGTGTCGGCGAACACGACCGATGTTACACGTGGCCATGGGTGCGATAACGGGGCGCTAATGGACAATTTCGGGGTCTTGATCCAGGCGCTGCTGGCGGTTGTGGCTTTCAGTACTTTGATGTGTGAGTACAATGTAAAATAAAACAAAAGCGATATCGTATCTTGTTGGCGATGTTGGCCTCATAAACGGTTTTTATTTACCATTATCGAATGATGTAACCCTGTTTGTTCTGAAAACAAAAACCCCAAGGTTTTAATTGGTTCACACTCCTGATGCGTGGCAGACGTTGCAGTTTCCTGTGACATGAAAACTTTGACTAGGTGTCATTGTGATCTGTTGCGTCGGCTGTCGACTGTTTTAAACTCAATCCCCTCGCGGACACGCCGGGCCTCCCTAATCTTTGCAGGTTGTTGTGCCGCTTAAGCTTTTCGAATTACTCATTTTCAGCGTAGTTTGCAGTGTTCTAAATAAATCATGGAAGGGTCAAAGTCCTTAGTTTGTGTACTTTGTTATCATTAGCTGTCGTAAGCCATGCCTGCAGGACTGGCAAAAAGAACTAATTCTAGCGTAATCCGCAAGTTTTTCCTGAAAAAAAGTGCTTGATAATCGTTTCCTTGCACTGAAGCAATTACTGCTCACAGGCTATAGTGTACTAATGCATTACTGTAGGATAGTAATGTGTGAGTACTTTGAGAAAATAATTCTTGGATTAAATCGCTTCTTGATTCACTGTAAAGACTGGTAAAGTGACATTGGTTTAAGGTGGGTACAGGGTCTGTTATAGGCTGAATTTATATTCTCTTCAGGGGAAACCCTCACTTTTCTGAATCTAAGAAGTTTACAGCAGGCCTACTGTTAGAACTTCTTCATTAAAAGTCCAGTCTAATTGGGGGTCCAAGCCCCAGCAGTGATGGATCAGAATTTTTTTTCTTTTTGTGTTCGGTCACATGTGCGTGTCTGCAGTGCTGTGATTATAAAGCACTTCCTTTTTGTCTGTTTTGTCTGTTTGCCTGTTTGATTAAACGGCCCATTGCTTTTGGTCTGTTTTACAAAGCGAATGTCTTAACCTCAGCATATCAATGGTGTTGTAGTTGTTGATGTATCTCGGTGTGCTGGTTTGATATTGCGGTGGCTCAGGGTAAAATGTCCAACCCGAGGAAGGTCTGCTGTCCCGCAGCTTTCTTGTGGACTTTTTTGTTGTAACTGCAGCACTGCTGGCAGTTTTTGCAGTTTTCAGATGATGAATAATTGACCACAGATTATGAAGGTTCTTCTTATTAATCAGACTCTGCTTCTGTCTGTTTTAATGGCAGTAAAACGGTTCCGCGAACCAGCTGGAATAAGACGACCATGGAGAATCTGGTGAGTTGTCTTTTGGCCCTATAGCCTTCTTAGAATTTTCCTATTGTATTCATCTTATCTTTTGTGATATTCCCATATATAACTAATTTTTTTTGCATCTCAGTCTGTGTTAAGAAATGCAGGGGATCGATCAGGGCCTGAGTCCGAGAGGCATTGATCTGTCTGGTCATGCTAATGTTTAAACCTGTGTTTGTTATACATTGTTCAGGCATTGCAGTTTTTTCCTTTTATACATGTATTCTTGTTCTTTTAAAGAGTTTGCCAGGTGTGTTAGGTGTGTATTTTGGTTCTCCCAGGTTTTACGACACCTCGAAGCAGGCGATCGGCGCACTCTTCATTCACTTTGCCAACGTCTTCCTCTCAACACTCACCATAGAAGACCCCTGCTCTTTGTAAGAGCTTAATTTGGCACTTGACATATTCAGTACAAACAAAATTCCCTATCCCAGGCGCACCCAAGCGAGACCTTATCCCTTGTAATAAAAACACCTGACTGATTCTGTGAGCTGTGGTGTAAAACCCCAATTCCTGCTGTCTTTCCCAGGTATCTGATGAATTTCCTTCTGGATGCGACATTGGGCATGCTCGTAATCTGGGCGGGGGTGAAGGCAGTCTCCAAGGCCGTCGAGTACAAGAAAGTCACCCTGCTCACCTTTGGAGAATATGGTGAGGAGTCGGAGTATATTAGTGTGGAATGCGCATTGCCATCTTTCCGTTTTGTGGTGTACTTTGGTTAATTTCTGCTACCACTAGGGGGCATTGTAGCATCAGTACAGGAACCCCCCCCATTTCCGACAGTACAGCGTTCCTATAAAAGCCATCATAAGCCAAAATGACATAAAGCGAAGTAGCAATTGCCATTAATTAACACAGGAACGGCAAAACGAAAAAAATAACCTACCAAATCATACCAAATAACAGATAAAACCTAAAAACACTAACGTAATAAAAGTATTAATGATACACAGCCTCTGCAAAGTAGAGATAATGTATGGACAGTGAGGTTTTACGTACCATGATCAGTACAGTCATGTATCACTTAACAAGGAAACGTTCAGAAATATGCATCTTTAGGCTGTTGTGCAGTTGTGAGAACATCGTAGTGTATTTACACAAACCTAGATGGTAGAGTCTACTGCACCCCTATAGGCTTACAGCACAAATGGTTAAAAAGTACAGCATAGTAAACACATAAACCAGTGACGGTTATCCTTACCAGGTATAATGGTGCATGCTGTTTTTACACGGCTGGCAGCAAAGTGGGTGTGTTTACACCAGCATCACCGTGATAAAGTGCTACAACATCACTAGGCAGTAGGAATTTTTCAGCTGTTATAATCGATCGTATGGGACCCTTGTTTATATGCGGTCCGTCACTGACTGAAACATCGCTATGTGGTGCATGACCTTGTATCTGTAATTGGTTCACTGATAAACAAATACTAAACACTGTTTTCGCTTTTCTCCTGTTTTCGTAAAAGCACAGATCCTTTTCGGAATTCTTTCGGTTAGTAAAAACAGATGCAGTCAGATCGCATGAGGCGAATGTCCGTAAAGGCCGGATGCCTGAATTTTGGCTGGGTGCCTCTGGCCCTGATGCCTCATACCTCCCAGTTTGTGGGTTTCAATCCTGCCCCCTACCATGTGCACCATGTGCGTGGACCTTGCACGTTCTCCCTGTGTCATGTGGGCTTCCTCCAGTTTCCTCCTGAGCTCCAAACAATGTGCAGTTAAACAGTTAGTGTACCTGTATCATTGTGCATGTGCATTGTGCTATGGGCTAGAATGCCGTCCAGCTTGTATCTCAGCCTTGTGTCTTGCTGGGGTGGGGGGCACTAGATGACCTTTGACCCTGTCCTGGATAAGCACGTGTGCTGCAATGATCTGATGAGGAACTGCAACATCAGCGCAGTCCTCACAGAGATAACATGACATAATGCAGCTTAAATATAAACTTGTTTTATCATATATGTTATGTATAACATACATATATATCAGATCCATTATAAACTAATAGCGTGTTGCCAATGGAGGAGTTGTGGTGTGCCCTCTGGTGGACTAACTACGAAATGACAACACTCATAACATGGTCGAAGGATTCCTCTTCCATCTTCCCATTTCTTTTTAATTGTAATTTGTTGGCTGTCATAAACGCTTATGCCGATTTTATCTGCAATTAGAGCATATCGGCCAATAATATCGGCACGCCGATTTATCGATCGGGCTCTCGTTTAGACCATTATGAAGATATGCAGAATATGCTAGGAGCCTGTTAACATGTTAAAGAACATGTTTGTTTACAAGTGTGTCTGTGATCTCAGCCCATTTTACATCACAGACCTTCTGACTGGATATGAAGCTAACAGGCCGCTGAGACCATTAGGATCTGGTCAGCTAATAGTACGAGCCAAAGTCAGGGCAACTGCTAATAAAAATAGCTGCTTTTTCTTTATTTTAGTGTCTTCAATTTGTAATTTTTAATTAGTCACTTAAATTTAAAAAAGTGAAAGAATTATTCCATTAAATGATTGCTTTTATTTGACCTTATTTTATGTAAAGCTCTCTGAAATGACCCCTGTGTGTTGATGTGCTATAAAACTAAACTTGCCTAAATTATGTAGGGCTGTGTTGAAGCATTTGGACAAACTTTTGATAAGTTTGATTTGAAGGTAAAGATGGATCATGCACCTTTCGGTGACATTGACAGCGATGATGGTGTGGAGATGTTTGGCTGTAAGTGCGGATGACTGGTATTTATTATTTATCTGGAAGGCTGTTATGACAGAAAGCTGACCATGAAAATATGGCTCCGCTGTTTTTAGGAACACATTTTTGGTTGTCTTTGAAGGGTACAATGAATCTTCTCTGTAAATCAATACTTATTCCACATTTTATGTGTGCTGTGCCACACATCGATGAGTATTTCAACTTTTGAAGCAACTTCCCACTTTATTTTGTAATCCATGGTTTCTCCCAAGTCTTTCTTGTGATTGGACTGTGCTGGGAATTGTGTGCAAAAATATCCACTACATGCTTGGAAGTGAAACACAGATTGCATAAGCGCTGAAGTAAGGAGTTATGAAACGCAGAGCTTTGCTTTAAAGCGGCTAATGTTTCAGGGGTGGTGATTTTTGCTGACCTTTTAAAAAAAAAAATAAGTGTTATGTCCAGAAGAAAGCACTACTGCCTTCTGCTCAGTAGGGGGTGCTGTTGGCTGGTTTGGGGCCCAGGTTCTGGCCGGTTTGCTCCCAGTCTGATGGGTGGTCTGCCCTCTCCAGGGGAGCCTCCGCAGGTGGCGGCCTGGGTGGGCCAGTGTGCCATATACCTGCTCATCGTGGTGCTGGAGAAGTGCGTGGTGACCCTGGTGCTGCTCATTCCTGGGTGGACTAGGGTAAGTACCCACTGGATGCTGGCTGTGCACCAGCCAAGAGGCTCCAGAGTGATAACAATTTTTTGCATTATCTCTATTTTTATTCTTCGTTTCTGACCGACATTATGCTTCTTAGGGGTAATTGTAATTATTCAGAAATGTAATTATTCAGAATTGTAATTGTAATTATTCAGAATTGTAATTATTCAGAATTGTAATTGTAATTATTCAGAATTGTAAATGTAATTATTCAAACTACCGTGGTACACCCTGCCTGGGCAGGCTGGTCTCTCTCTAATGGGAGCCCTGTGCTGCAGGTGCAGGAGGTGCTGCTGGACTACATCCCCAACGCTCAGCTGGAGGTGGTGCTCGTCATGCTCATCGTGCCCTTTTTGGTCAACGTGAGTCTGCGCAGCTGCGCCTCGCGTGCGGCTGCGCGTGTCAGTCAGTTGGACATGATAGGGCGTGCTGTCAAATCGTGCCCCGTGAGTGGTCTCTGTGCCCTGCCCTAGGCCGTCATGTTCTGGGTGGTGGACAGCCTAATGATGAGGAAATACAAGACGCTGGTGACAATGGAGGAAAAGGGCGACGTCGTGAAGCAGGGGGAGGCGTCGTCGTGGGCGACTGGAGAGGAGGCGCAGGTGAGGGGGCGGGCCGGCTTTGTGGGGGGGGGGGGGGCTTCAGCGTGTCCATGTGACCTCCACCCAGATCGCCTGTGTGTAAACAGCAGTTACAAATTCCCTTTCACGAGTCCAATATCCACGGGGCCCAAAATTCTATGAGTGAATCATCTGGGTACTATGGAAACCAGTATGGAACAAAGTTTAACAATGACTTCATCTGTGGGCTGCTGCCCCTGAGAGACAGAGAGAGAGACAGAGAGCCTCGTGTTGAAAGCATGAAACTCCAGCTGGGACAATTGAGTGACCTGGAGTCAGCGTGTGTGTGTGTGTGTGTGTGTGTGTGTGTGTGTGTGTGTGTGTGTGTGTGTGTGTGTGTGTGTGTGTGTCCACTGGTCGCGCTCCACATCTGCTACAGCTCACGCTGGATTTGAACATCAGAGTGAGTCAGTCACGCTCCCCTGGAAGGTGCCTGTCCTCCAAACCCCTGTCTTTCTGCATCGCGTTTCCCAGAGAGGAGTGAGGGTCCTACTGTAGATGTGTAGTAGTATGTTTCTTCTTGCCATTCAGAAATCTCACCACCTTTAAGTCTTAACTGACGTTTTATTGTGCCTTTCTCCTCTAACAATCTCTCCGTTCGTGTCAGTTCACCTGACATCGCTGACGCCAAAACGGGACGATCTGACAGACGAGTAAGAGCAGTGAGATCTCACTGGGTTACATAGGTAGCATTGGTGCTGTCATCATTGTGTGTGTCTACAGGAATGCAGCCCCCTTAACTTAATTAGGCGTAATGCTGATGAGTCTGCGAATCGACTGACTTCCTCTGCTGCCCCCTGGAGGATAGCCCCCCCCCCCTTTGAGTCTGGCCACCCCTGCTTTAGGGGAACCAATCTTATCCGCAAAGGGCCGGTGTCTATGCAGGATTCTGGGATAACCTGTAGGTCAGCTGCTCAAACCCAGGTGTGAGGACTCTTCAGCCAATCAGTCCTCTAATTAGTAATCTAATTAGGGAGCTGCAGCGAAAACCCGCACACACAGCGGCCCTTTGCGGATAAGATCGGCCACCCCTGCCCTAAGGTTTCTTCCTTGCCAGTGTCATCTCTGGCTCACTGGCGGCTTGGGGCAGGGACAATGTAAAGTGCTTTGAGATAATGTAATATTGTGAAAATGCACTATACAAATGCAAGTAAAATGAATAATTAGTTGTGATTTTCAGGGCCTTCTTGCTGAACTCTGGCATCTTTCTGGTCTCACATTCTGGTCGTCAGTTCCGACCTCCAGCCTCTTAGGCTGGTAAATGTTGCTCCCCCAGTCCTTTGCAGATTTTCCAACATACTGGGACCCCGGTGACTCAGTGCGGCCCCCACCCCTCAGCCCTCCCGGGCCCTCAATGGCCGATTCTTTTCCCGTCGGTTCTGCCGCGGCCTCTCCCACTCCTGTGGCCTTTTGGATGCCAACGAATCAGCCCGTTTGTCCGGCACCATAAAAGTGACATTTTGAGGAATGTTTCCACAGGGTGATGTCAGGCTTTACAGAGCAGACGGGCCCAGGGATGATCTCCGGACCCGTTAAATGTGCTGAGGAATGTAACATTCGTGATGCGCACTTAGCATACAGTATATGCTTTGTTTTTGTATTTGAAGTGCTGTTTACATGACTCTTTTATAACTGCATGTAAAAGACTGTGTGATACATGGTGCATCTGGCTCCTTCCTGTGCCCCAGCCTGTGTGTAGCAAACCCCCAGAAATCCCCCCCCCGGCCATTTGGGACCAAACGCTGCCAGGTTGACATGGGCGGCTAACCCCACCCTCATTCCTGGCTGTACGGGTTCCCCATAAACCCAATACAGACCTGGGACTCCAGCGTTGACATGGGTGGGGGGGGGGGGTTCTTTTGGTTTGTCTGGCCCCTATCTGCAGAGGAAGGGCCCTAAGGGAGACTCGTGTTCCAGATAACGTAGCTTTCCACTGATGCCCCCTCCCTTCACGATTCTCAGAAGTTGTTCCAGGCCTGAGGCCTGACCGATGACAGGCCGGAGGGACTATATGCCCACCTGGCTTGAGAACATCTGAGGAGTCCACAGGAACTGCCTGGTTACTGCGACCCTAACCTGGAGAAGCAGTGTCCATCCACCCACTATTCATAATCGCTTATTTAATGTGGGAAGCCCTGGGCACCAGGAAAATGTAGTGTTTGCCTATGAGGTGAGGGAGCGCCAGTTTAGCTCATGGGCGGAGCCACTGGGCAGGGGACACCCTGGACGGGATGCCAGTCCATCACAGGGCACACAGAATGAATGCACGGTCCTCTATATAATATGATCCACCTTTGTGCTTTGTTCCAGGTACTCCTGGAACCCGACACTGACCCTGAGGTCCTGGAGGGGGAGCAAGGATGGTCAGGGTCAGAGTCACCCCTCCCGTGTTCGGGGGCCGCTAAGTGTGTGTGACTGCTGATGGTCTGGCCACTTCTGTCTCCAGTTCCCTGCTGAATGAGAGGCGTTCTGAAGTTTGCGTGGATCCCGACTCAGCCAGACGTCGAGCACTTTACTAGGAGGGGCCAGAGCAGTGATCACTCTTTTTACACGCCTTTTACACTCGGTCACTCCTATCCTTTATTCATGGTTACACACCCTGTTGGCGGAGCTTTTTCTGGGACCCGTAGGCACTTGATTCTGAGTGATTTGTTGGCTGGCCCCTTGTGATGGTTTATTCCTGCTAATCAGTGTATATGGATGATAGGCCGCCTTCTCAGGGTTAGACAATGACTCATGGGAGAGGGGTGTCTCATATCTGGAGCAGATGGAACTCGTCCTTCCTTTGTGCTGATTGGTTACCCCAAAATGACCCCAAAGACCCACAGGGCTTAATTTAATGGCATTAAGAGGAGTTTATGAGCTGCCTGAGACAAGATGAGGAGCAGTGTCATTTTCCACCCTGATTGATAACGTAGATGAATTCGGGAGGTGGGGGAGGGGTTCCCATTTTCTTTCTTTTTCTCCCCAAGCCGTCTTGGAACCAAGCACCAGCACCGTCTGATGACGGAGATGTTCTCCACCTGTCTGATGCTATCCTTCTGTTCATGTGAACCACACTACTGCCTAATATACACTTTGTTTCTGTACGACTGGCTACTCTCCTTCTGTAATGCAAAGTGCAGTTGGTCTCTTGTGGGGGGGGGTGTGATCTGATCGACACTCACAGCTGGAGGCTGGATGTTTGTTCCCTTGTAATGTTTGCTTGCATTCCTCAGTACATTCATGGGGAAAATATCAATATGTGTGTGTATTATTCACACAAGTGCACTGATGCATGTATTTCTTAGTCCAAATGTGTTTGCCTCGTACAGCTAATGCTTTGAGGTATTACTATGTGGCAGTTGGGGTTTGAGCCGGTGCTCCTCAGCTCTGTATTGGTTAGGTTACGCCGGTTCTGCATTGTTCTGTGTATTTTACCAGTGTTCTTTCTTTAATAAAGCAGCTCCTGATTAATAGTCTGTTGTACTGTAAATCATTTTTGTAAAGATCCTAGAAATTTTACATCATGTATTACTGATGTGTGAGTGCATGTATGCTATCCATCCATCCATCCATCCATCTTCCACCGCTTATGTGGGGTCGGGTCACAGGGGCACCAGTCTAAGCAGGGATGCCCAGATCTCCCTGTCCCCAGCCACCTCCTCCAGGGGAATACCAAGGTGCTCAAGCCAGTGGAGAGATTTAATGCCTCCAGCATGTCCTGGGTCTGCCCTGGGGCCTCCTCACGGTTGGACATGCCTGAAAAACCTCCCCAGAGAGCCGTCCGGGTGGCATCGATCCATGTCGATCTCCCACTCCCTTCTCTCATGAATAAGACCCCAAGATAGGCAGTAACTCATCTTCCACCAGGAGAGGGCAATCTACCCTTTTCCAGTCAAGAACCGTAGCCTCAGACACTGGTGGTGCTGATCCTCACCCCAGCTGCAAACCGCCGCAGTGCAAGCTGAAGGTCACAGCCCAGTGCCAGACCACATCATCTGCAAAAAACAAAGATGCGACCCTGAAGTGCCCAAACCAGACCCAAACTGCCCCTTGACTATGCCAAAAAATTCTGTCCATAGAAGTTACGAACAGAACTGGTGACCGGTCCAACACCTACCAGGAACAAGTCTGACTTACTGCTAGCAATTCAAACCAAACTCATACCCTAATTATACAGGGACCTTGTGCTCTGCACCAAAGGTCCCCATACTTCTGAAGCACCCCCCACAGGACCTTCTGATGGAGATGATCGTATGTCTTTTCCAAGTCCGCAAAATACATGTAGACTGGTTGGGCAAACTCCCATAAACCCTCCAGTATCCTTGTGAGGGTGAAAAACTGGTCAACCATTCCATGACCAGGAAGGAATCCACATCATTCCTTCTGAATCTGAGGTTCAGCCAACAGACAGACCCTCCTCTCCAGTACCTGGACATAGACCCTCCTCTCCAGTACCTGGACATAGACCTTCCCAGGGAGACTGAGGAGTGTGATCCCCCTGAAGGTGGAACACATCTTCCGATCCCCTTTCTGGGGACCACCACCCCAGTATACCAGTATACCAATCCAAGTGCACAATCCCCAACTTCCATGCAATGTTGAAGAGGCGTGTCAGCTAAGACAGCCCAACAACATCAAAACTACCAAGCTTTTAGAAACTCAGGGCGAATCCCATCCACATTACCATCCATCCATCTATTATCTCCCGCTTAATCCGAGGTCGGGTCGGGGGGGCAGCAGTCTCAGCAGGGAAACCCAGACTTCCCTCTCCCCGGCCACTTC